GCATAGCCTGGTGCTGACTTGGCTATGGTTGGGGACACATTAAAGATTAGGATCCAGCTATGGTCTTGTTTGGGCCACAGATATATCGGACTGATTGAGTGAGTCTCTTCCTTTCTCCCTTATGGTATCATGAAGGACTGAGTCCCTAGATCTCTGGCAGCTGAAGCATCCCAGCTGAACAGGAGGATTGCAATCATGTGTGAGGCCATCCCAAGAAGGGATGTCTTCTCTTCCTAGACTAGGGAGTCTCCTCTCAGCTAGTCTCTGTCCTGGTGGCTTCCATTTCACTCTACACATAGTGGCACAAGAGCCCGAGAGCCCAAAGAATGAGAACAAGCCGCCTCAGGCTTCAGTCAGGGTTCCTGCCAGTGTTTCCTCACCCCACTGGCCTCCAGCCGCAGCCACTCTTACTCTGGCTTCCTTCTAGTTCTCTGGTCTCATTTTGCAAATGTTTCCGGCAGGTTCCTTTTTATCAATCAGTTTCCAAACCTCAGTCTCAGTTCTTGGCTTTACTTAATCTCTAGTCACTCTTTCCCTAGTGATTTCACTCCGACAAGTGTGTTTCGGTGCCTTCTCTATATTGCTGACCTCCCAAATTACAGCTCAGTGTCAAAGCTTTTTCTTGAACTCAGTCATTGCCAGTCACCTACGTAGCATTTCCTTTTGCACATTTCATAGGCATTTAAACCTAAAGGTCTGAGTTGCCTTTCTCCATATTCTTGCCTCATTTGGCTATGTTTTCCTTATGTCAGTAAATGGCAGTCCCATTCTTATACTGACTTGGAATATTAATGACTTTTCTCTCTCATGTCCCATATTTTATCTGTCAGCAAATGATGTCATCTTGAATTCTGACTTTATTACCTCCATTATTGCCAAGATAAGATACCATACCATCATCTCCTAGGGAGTCTCCTCTCAGCTAGTCCCTGTCCTGGTGGCTTCCATTTCACTCTACACATAGTGGCACAGGGACCCTGTTAAATGCATGTCAGATCGTATCACGTCTCTTCTCAAAACCTCCAGTGGCTTCCTGTCTTACTTCCAGCTAAAATGCAGATCCTCATGTCAACAAATTACACAGTCTTCTCCCGGCTTCCCTTCCCATCCTCTCCACCACTGTCTGCCTCACTTCTGCCCAGGACCCAACGGCATGAGCCACTTTTCTGCTCTCACATGGACTAGCCTTGCTCTCTCCTTTGACATCACCCTTCCCTTTCCCAGGAGCAATCTCTTCCCAATACCCGTGCGCTTCCTTTGTATCTTCAAATCTTTATTTAGACCCTGCCTTCTCAGTAGTGTGCCATGACCACCTCAACTAACACCACAAACTCTCAAATACTTGTCCCTCTGACATATGATTTAATCTGTTCTCCACCTATTAGAATAGAACCTCTCCAAAGGCAGGGGGTGTTAACTACTTTGTTCACTGTTATATCTCCAGCGCTAACAACAGTTCCTGCAAGAATAGACCTTTACTTTGCAACTGGATGAATGGATGACAAGAATAACTGGAGCCTGTGTCTATATACAGATAACTATTTATATTTAGTTTACATAATTTTCTCTAATCCTTTAAGGGAGAATCTCCTAACTAAATGCTTTTTCTTTGTTATCTTCCAACATCCAATTCTTCTATCCTCTCAGTGGCTTTGCATCTTTTCTTAGGAAAGTTGACTGACAGGTCCACTTAGGTTTGTTCAGCGACTGCACAATGATGTGTCACTGAGGTGTCCCCACAATGCAGTTAGCATTGCCTCCAAGTGACTGGCACTAGTGGCCGGTCTGTGCTGATAAGAGTTGCTGACTGGAGCAGAAGCAAAGTCACCAGAACTATGATGAAGGAGTCACACCTCTCTATTTTGTGAGGTGAGGTGAAATCTCAGTTGATAAAATTCTTGCTGCACAAGCATAAGTTCCTGGGTTCCATTCCTGGAATCCATGCAAACACTAGGCAGAGTAGCAAGCATGAGTAATTCTGGTGATGAGGAAGGAGAGACAGGCAGATCCCTACAGCTTTTTGGCTAACAACCTAATCCAGAGCCCCAGGTGCCAGCGAAAGACCCTGTCTAAGAAAGCAAGGTGGATGGGTACTGAGGAATGACACATGATATTGATTGATCCCTGTTCTCACTGTCCTCCACATGGATATGAAGGTGTGTGTATACATCCACACATAGGGACACACAGACTTTTCACACACGTGCATGTACAGACACATACACAGTACCTCTCTCTCTCTTACACACACACACACACACACACACACACACACACACACACAATTTTGTTTCTGAGCTGAAAAGAACTGGAAAAAAATCTCCACTTGTATTTATTTCAAAGAGCACATCATGAAGTCCTAAAGAGTTTCCAAGCCACAGAATTGCCCTTTCGGCAAGTAAACTATATCCAAACAGTAAAGTGTCTATAAATATAGAATCTAGCTCAGCTCATCTCTTCATCCATCCACGAATGAACTAAAGGTCTACTCTCTGCTGGGTCTTCCTTGAATCCAATCACTACATTACATCCACTCCCCATTTACTGGGAACCCTAAGAACTCATTCCAGCTTTGTTCTGGAGTCTCACGTTCCCTTTTTATCATATGTAACTACTGTACTTTCCATTTCTTGGATCTTTGTTCCCCTGACCCCCACCCCACACACATACCCAGGAACAATCCCCCCATCTTTCCATTTCCATAGGATCTAGAATCTCACTCCAGTTTTCCTAGGACGGATCTGACCAGGGACAAGCCATAAGGAAGCCGTATGGGGCAGAGGTGACTCTCTGGAGTCTAACCCTGTCAATGTTTCGGCTCCAGGAAACCTCAGCAGTGACCAGATACTCAACAAGTCTGTTAGTGCAATCTGCTTCAACAGCAGGGTATGCTCTATGCCGGAAACTCTCCTTGGAACTCACCCCTATAAAGGGCAAGATGGAGAAGCAGCATGTGTCTTTTGGAAGCTCTTAATTTAACAGGAGATGACAACCACGTGTCTCTGTGAATGGCAACTGGCTGTTAAACAAGTTGTGAATATTGCCCATTTCTACATGACACATCCTAACAAAATATTTATCCTGATTAACCCTGAGCAAGGGCAGAAAGAGAGCCAAGACATCGACCCTCTGTAAGTTCCTCTGTGACTCACCGGCAACCTTTGTACTGGTCCACTCAATGCCATAAACTAATCAACTGGCCTGTGGTTCCATCAACAATGTAACAGAGGCTGCCATGCATTTTTCCAGAAAAACCCTCAGTGGCATCATTGCTCATTGTAATAATTTATCAAAGGCCCCATCTTCCAGCTTGCAAAACTACTTAGTGGAGCATGAAGGCTTCCTTGGGTTATTAAATTACGTTGTTACCAATCCCTTGATGTTTCTGTGTTTTAATTTTGTCTTTGTACCTTGAGCAGGGTTACTGGGAAGGGAGTAGTTGATAGGTTTATTATAGCAGTCTTTGGAGTGAGAGAACCGTCTTCTTCCTCCACCCGTTCTTCTCATGCAGAGTCTCTTCCTGAGGCCCTCTCTATCTAGAGGCAGATTCTGTCTTGTTACCCTCACCTGCATGGCTCTGTGCTCCAGATGCCCAATGTTTAAGAAAATCTGTCTTTAAGTCATGCTGCTTGAAAGAACAGAAATGCAACTATTCAAACATATAAAATACAAGAGAAATGCTGAGTACAGAAGAAGATGCAGAGTATTAGGTCCACAAAGGCCAAGGTCACAGGAAGCATGCACAGTTGGAACTATCTTTTTGCACATGGTGTAAAGATGCATCTCTTTTACCTCACCTGCCTAAGTCACCTTCTGACTGGTTTAATAGAGAGCTGAATGGCCAATAGTTAGGCAGGAAGAGGATAGGTGGAACTTCCAGGCAGAGATAGGAATTCTGAGAAAGAATCTGAGGCAGGAGATTCGCCAGCCAGGAGCCGAGGAAGTTGGACATATGATACTGAGGACAGGTAACAAACCACATGGCAGAATGCAGATTAATATAAAGTTTTATATTAAATATCTTATAACTAATATGTTAATTATATTAATTAATTAATATAAAGTAGGTTTATTTAAGTTTTAAGAGCTAGTTGGGATCAAGCCTAAGCTAAGGCCAAGCTTTCACAATTGATAAAAAGTTTCCATGTCATTATTTGGGAGCTGGTGATTCAAAATAAAAAAGATCTATTATAATGTACAGTAATTAGAGCTAACCTAAAATGTTCTAAGACTTACCATGCATCAAAATCTTTGGTTAATTTGCCCTAGGGTTTGGGCAGGAGTCCAACAGTTTGCATTCCTACTAAGTTCCAGCTACCCCCATTGGACTAGGAACCCCACTTTGAAAGCTGCTGGGCTAATCAGATTTATATTTGAATTTCCATGATTTGTTATCTTAAACATTTACAGTCACCTGTTGGTCCCATTTTTATCCCTCGATAGGTTTCCCAGCAATCTGCCAAGAGAAAACCCAGTGAAAGAGATCTGGCTCTAAATGGATTTTGTGGAATTCCTCTGCGTTTCCTCCAACCTTCCCAGAAGCATTGCCTTGGATCCTTGACTATAACTTACCAACTAATGAGAGTGTTCACTCCAGTTCTCTAGAGAAATCTGGGGATAACCCAGAAGGCCTCTGCCAGTGCAGAGAGAATCCTGACCAGGAACACCTTTCCAAGCAGAGGAACAGGAGCTGGATGCCTGCCCCCACCTTAAGAGACAGAGCCCACAGGAGAGGCATGTCTCACTTGCCTTAGCACAAACTCAACTGTGTTTTCAGGTCAAAGTTTCTAAATGGAATATGAGGGTTTCTACATTAATGGCAGTGATTTCCCTTCTGATTAATTCCTATGAGTAGCAAATGACAGTAACCATTGGGATGAATGTTCCTCCAGGAACATCAACTATGGGCTGCAAAGAAAGGTTGGTGTAAACACCATCTATTGGCTCACTGCTCTTCCCATCTCACCAAGATCCCAGTCAAAGAAAAGATAGGTGCTCACTGTTTCGGGGCTTGTCTTCGTCCATGCCCTCATCCTCATTCTCAGGGTCAATGTCTTCCGCTTGGGTGATCCAATCCAGGTAGCCTTTGAGATCTTCTTCTAGCTGCTGCTTCTCTCGAAGCTTTTGGAAATCCCCCCGAGCTTTGGCTTTCTCCCTCTCTTTGGAAAACTCTCTGGTGTGAGAGGGAGGGGAGCAGGTGGGTAGGGCGCCACAGAAGGGTCATCCAGGAAGAAAGACAGAGAGAAGGGGAGACAAGGCAGGTATTAATTGCTTTGTGAAGAGAACCCTGTCCAAATCACCCCCTTTCTATAGAGCGCTGTCTCCAGCACCGGAGGGGGAGCACTGACAGTATGCTCTTGACACAGGCCAGGAAAATCTAAGGGGATGAGGGCTGTCCACTCACTTTCTAGATCACAATAGACTTTTCCTGTTCTCCAAAGATCGGGAGATCCCTGCCAAACATTAATTGTCATGCCCCTCTACAACAAGGAAACACACGTGTCACCTAGTATTAGGTCACACTTTTTTTTTTAATGACAAAGCATCTTCAAATAACAGATTATTAGGACTCAGTGATGAAGAGCCCACTTACTTGTACTGGGTCTCCGAGCCAATAATGTCTTCTTTTTCCAACTCGGGTTTCAGTGATATCTGCTCGATAACAGCTAAGTTTGGAATATTTGCCCCATGAAAACTAGCCAATGCAATTACTTGCTCAGGGCATTTCCCCACAGAAGGTAGAAAGTATTTATCAGTTGTCTATTTGGCCCAGTAGGTGTGATCTCTTCAATCTCTGCCCTTACAACTACAGTCCACTCTACTGCTCTTAGCATGCCTGGAGGGAGTTCAACCCACATGGATACCCAAAGGACTCCAAACACAAGAAAATACCCTGGGGCCTGCCATTTGGATTAAAGCAATTTAGCCAGGATAGAAAAATACATAAAATGAAGATGGTATCCAAGTTAATGTTTCAGTTGAAAATAACATTTGTAGTTTGCCTGGGACTTGTTGGGAGAAGGAAACATAGGGAACGTTCTCTTCTCAGTTGTCTCAGATGGTCCTTTTCTCTATCCCTGAATTCACTTTAAGCAAGGCTAAGGCTTGGAGCAGAGGCAATGACAGACAAGCTCGTTTCCAGGTGCCACAGGAGGTGTGAACCCCTTCTTTCCATGGGCGGCAGAATTTGCTTTGTTTGGGCTTTTGACCTATTGAAAATGGGGTCCTTGGAGGTAGGATGGGGGTAGGGGTGTGCACGTGAATTCTCTGGTGCCATGACTAATCCCTGCGCCATAGTTCCTACCTCTCAGTAAGAGCCCCATTCAGGACCACTGACAATGGAACTACCAACAGAGCTTCGTGCACAAGCTTGTGGCTGCAGGGAAAGGCACTGTGGAGGTAATCACATCATCAACAAACCTTGGGGGACAAAAGGCTCAGTGGAGCCTGGTGTCACATACAGGAGTCTGTCACCGCATACTATTCACCTAGTGTTGCATTCTGCCTGTGGTATTTGGCAGAACTTAGGCTTAATACTCTCACCACTGTGGTGAAATGGGGTTAAGGCCGGGGAATGCTTTGATTGGGAGAATGGGGGCTCTCAAGCTAGGGACTCTTCTTCAGCTACCTCCTTCACAAGGGTCTGGTTTGGATTGAATTTTCTTCTCAAATCTGATTGAATCCAATTATAATCGGATTGAACTTGCTATTTCTTGGGCTTCTTGCCAACCAGTGGGTACTTTTATTTCCTTCCCAGAAAGCTGTATGCCAGAGAAGAGGTGCTGGATTGACAGATCATGGCAAAGGCAGGACCTGGCTTGGCTTTGCTCTTCCTGCTTCTGTTGTTGGGGTGGCTATGAAAAGATGCCAGCCCCTCCTTGGCTTGGCTTCCCAACTCTTACATATGGTGAAGCCTCTTCTGCCTTGACCTCACTCTCTACAGACAACAGATTCAGGGTACATGCCTCCAAATGTAAATAAACTAAAAAACCTGGCACCTTAAGGATCTTCTCCTGCAATCTTTCTGCACACCCAAGTGCTCTCCCCACCCCCTTCTTTGCCCTGGAGTGGGTTTGAGTGAGTTTCAAAGGGATAAAGTTACTAAGAGAGTGCTTTAGTTCTGGATGATTTCAGAGAGTTCAAGCTCTGGTTATAAGACGCCTACCATCCCTCTCAGTATTGGAAGAACAGGCCCTGGACTAGCTGGAATTAGGAAGCAGTACTGGTCATATTTTACAGCATCTGCCCTTGGAGTGGAAACTCACTGGCCACACCCCCGAGCCATGAGAAACCCAAATAAACAGTCACAGGGAATAAAGGGGAACAGGGTGGCTGCATGTTTCTATGAAGTAGCATACTGTGCTAGGAGTGAAGATGTGGCCTGAGCAACAAGGCAGCATGGGGTTTGGATAGTACCACGGGCACGGATACAACCAGAGTGTGGCTACACGGAACTCCAGGCTGCATGTGACAGTGATGCACTGAGTGACAGCCCCTGGGTCTCTATCCTCTCCTGGAAGCCGGCCATGTGCCTGCTCTGGAGTCTGAATGGATGAAGACATGGAAACCCAGCCTGACAGGCAGGTTGTCCCCAGCCTAGGGGCTAGAGCCAGCAAGACAATCAGTTACTACTGTGGATTTGTCACAAGGCAGGAGTGAATCTGTCACTAGCAATGGCCAAAATGAAACATGGGAAGAGGGGTGGTCAGTTCTCAGGTAAAGCATGCAACAGGGAGTGTGGTTGGGGCGAATCACATGGGACACTAGGCCCTTTGAGAATCAATATTGGACAGATAACAGTGCCTGCTATTTCTGGGTTTTCTAAAATTTCTTCGCAATCTCCTAATCAACGTTCATGGCACTTTCAATCATGTGTAGATATGCACGTAATGGAAATAAAACCACACGCTCCCTGCTGAGGTCAGACAAGGTAAAGTGCTTTAAGATGCTCTTCCTAATTCAGTGTATGCAGTACTGCATCTTTTCTGCTGTTGTGTTTTTGCGCTGTTCATTAGAGATTTTGCTGTTTAAAAGGTCCCAAGCACAGTTCTAATGAGTGAGAAAGCTGTGATGTGTCTTATAGAAAATGTGTGTTAGATAAGCTCACTTAGGCACGAGTTCCAGTGCTGATGACTGTGAGTCTAGTGTTAATGAATGGGTGATAGTTACTAAATAAGTTGTGGACAGAAACGCATGTAGGGTTGTCAAATCTGACCAGATACTCATAGCAGGATTCTAACTCTGTACTTTCATTGGTGGTCCAGTATTCACCAGTACACTGTCCAACGTAAGTTGGCAGAACTTAACCACTGAACGGCGAGAATCCATTCTGTGTGGCCACCTCTCCTGCCACAGTGTGTGCTGGCTCCCTTCTCACTCTTGATGTCCTGCCTTAATGGTGGCATCATTTTCCAGGCTGTAACTCTCCCACCCAGCAGGGACTCTGCTTTTTCTGGCAAGAGACATACATGCCTGTCTCCTGATGCAGAAGAGGATGCGGCAGTTACCCAGGTGAGAGATCCTAGGTACAGACACATCCAAAGGCCTCACCCACAGCCTCAAATGCAATTTTAAGTCTCACTGTCACTGTTTGGATTCTAGTATGTGGGAGACTGGGATTTCGGGAGGAGAAAGCATCAGTTCTTATCCAATTGTTACTTGTACTGATGCTAGTCCTGTGCCTTGCATAGGATGGATATGAGGACCACTACAAAACACGGAAATTTTCTGAAAAGATTCCAGGAGCTGTATGTCCTTCACACTATGTGGCCTCATCAGAAAGGCCTATATATGTGAGATAAAGGACACAGAGCCCTCAGGTAACCAAAATCCTGGAATTTCTACTCTTGCCATAGAAACCGTATGGAATGCCATCCTACTCTGAGTAGAACACACAGGACACATCTTAGCCTTTTCTTGCTGGCTAAAGGACACAATTTATGAGGGTGAGTTGCTTCACTGGGCTGTAAAGAATGTTATTAATTAGTGGATATGGGGTTCACACCCCAACCCTTCAGTCACAGTTGCCTCTGCTCTCAGAGCCCATCAAGTTCTTCAGAGTTTGCAGTCTGAACACCTGCCACTGGGCCAGCTAGGTAGCTTGGACATTGTGTGTGCTCTGGCTGTGCCCAGAAGCTGCTTCTGCTACATCTCTCCTTTACCCTTCCACCTTGGGAGAGTCTGATCTTTCCACTCCACTTCCTCTTGCAACAGGTTAGTGTAGGAGTAGCACGGGAGTGACAGGAAGAGGTTGTGGACTGATGAGGTTCTGAGTCAGCCCTCCATCCTCTAGTGTTTCCCATCAGAATGGAGGTGGCTTCCCCATCCAAACCTGTTTCTTTTTTCTGTGAAATAAAAACACAGGTAACATCCAGTTCATGGGATCCTGAAAACTAAGTAAACTAAAATATGAGATTTGTAGAGCACAGGCCTTGGCACAGTATGGGGAGACTGTTCCATGCTATTCTTGGGATAGTGCATTTCATGGGCTCTAAGACTTTCTGAATATTCTGGAAGGTTGGTCTAATTAAAGTGTAACTGACAACAATGAGTAGTTTTTTTGTTTGTTTGTTTGTTTTGTTGTGTTTTTTTCCCCCCAAATACTTGTTAACTATTACACTGTTGTCCGGATTAGTCAAGATGCCAACTCCAAAGCATCACAAGTGTGGTTAACCAGCAGGAGCCTATTTCCAGGTTTGTCACTGCACAGATTAGAGGCCATACATTAGGAGAAACTGGCCCTTGACAAAAAGCCAGAAGGGGTAGACAACTGCTTACAGACACCTGTCTGGCTGGGCAAAGGCCCATTAATCTTTGTGGAGCTGCCAGAAGCATGCTGCAACTTTGAGAATGGTCGGGTACTGGAAGGCTACAAAATGGACCAGCTGAACTCTGGAGCATAGAGCAAAGGGTAAACAGCCTCTATGTCCCTGTCCCATGGGAATTAAATGTCCTGAAAACCATTAAGCATCAGAATTGTGGATTCTGCACATCCATCCTCATTTGATCTAAATGAGACCAAGGTGTGATTTCAAAACGACCTTCCCTTCAGTATCAGCAGCTGCTCCTTTAAATTCTCTGATCTGACACCAGCAGGCGGGTCATTCCTCTGGGGTGGGGGTGGCAATGGTTATGAGCTGAAGCAGGGGCCTTTGGACTCTAGTCCTCATTCTCCATATTGAATTCCTGGAGGGTTCTACATGCCAAGATTTGGCTCCTAACATCGGAAGGAAGAAAATGGAATTTAGGTTGTTTTCCTTTTTGTTTGTTTGTTTGGTTTGGCTTAGAGCTATGTACTACACTAAAACTAAGCTTAATCAATGTAGATCTAGCAGGCAGTCATAAGGAAACAGGGGTCAAACTAAGACTCCAGGCCAGGTCTGCTGATTGCCAGAAAAGTGACATCTCTTGGCTTATCTTCCCCATCTCAAAAGAAAAGTCAAAGTAATCATCCCAGGGTCAGCACCGCCACTGACCACATACTAGGCCTTGTTCATGCTACAACGACAACCACCTGGGAGCTGATGTTATCTTCATTTTTTTGACATGGAAAATGAAAGTTTAAAAAGATAAAGTTGCCAGATATTATGCAGCCAGCAAATACAGAGCTACGATAGCCAAATTTCTGTCTTCAAAGGGGATATGTTTGACTTTTTTCCAGTGCTGTCTGTGAGATCCATGTATAAACAACGGGCCATTTTCTTGTGTTGGAAGATAAAACCGAACTCCCTGCCCCCTCCAGGCAGCTAACTAGGAGCTTATATATTATTTCATCTCCCTTTCATCTTCATCTCCTGAGTCTCACCTTGGCAAAAGATGAGATGCCATCCATGGCCATGGGTGGGGTTAAGGAAGGAATAAGTTACTTTCTTCACTCCATTCTAGACTGAACCCTGTGCCCTGGGCATGATGGGAGGCAGAGAACTGCCTGGTCTGCAGTGACAGGAAGTCCCTAGGTGCCCGAGAAGACTATAAAGCAGCTGACCTATCCAAGCAGAGCAGAAACAGATCCCCGCCTGCCTCCCGCTGAAACAAAGTCAGTAGGTAGGTCCCCTATTAGAGGGCCAGAGAGTCACCAGGAGCATTTAGGTGTCAGGTCTTGGCATGGCTGGCTTGAGCTAGTAAAAAACAGATGGCTGAAGAAACACCCCAGGTCTCCTTGATGAGAAGCTGACCATCATTGGGATCACTTGATGCCCTAGCCTGAGCCATTCTTTCACTTCTAATTGCATCTGAGCAAGGGCTGAAAACAGGTAGGTTTATGTCTGTGGCCATCTAGATTTAAAGGAAAATAAATTATGTCTTACCCATAACCTCATAATAACCTGTGGCTTTAAATGGTTATATGCCTTTTGCATTCAGAAAAGTAAACATCAGTGATGGGCTATGTGGCCTTGAAACGAGAATTAGTATTTGTTTGCATATGTACGTACACACACACACACACACACACACACACACACACACACAGACACACACGTACATCACAGAGTTTTGGATGTTTTTGCTTTTGACAATGCTAGGCCAAAACCCAAACTTCCTTCTGGCCTGCTCACTCAATAAAAGTGATGTAAAGTCTGTATTATTTGCCTGAAGATGATAACTGGTTCATGAGATCAGGCCAGTATTTAGTTTCAAGGGCACTGTGAGATAGGTGTGTGTGTGTGTGTGTGTGTGTGTGTGTGTGTGTGTGTGTGTGTGTGAACCTTCTTACAGATCCCTGCTGTGAAGTCCTTCCCACTCAAGGGTCTTTCTGTGCAGCTCCTCAGGCTGAGTGAGTAGGCCACAAGGGGAAGCTGCCTAACTACCTGAGCAGCTCCTGGGGCTAGGAAGGCATGGTGTGTGTGTTGGAATAGGTAAGGGACTGGGTGTCTCTTCTTTAGGGTCAACCACCTGTACCAATGAGTTAACTCCTATGCATCTGACCCTCTTCACAGTCAGGCCAAAGACCTTCACTTCAAGGCTCCTGAGTGACCCTTTATCCCAGGTTCATCAGAGCCAGAAACAGAATAGTGCCAGGAGGAGCAGAAAGAATAAATAAAAATGAATGGAAAAATCAAGACCATTTCCTTGGTCCTGCTTACCCGCTAAGAACACCGAGAACCAAGTTAAGTACAAAAAATGACCCTATGATGATTAGTGTAACAAAATAGATCCAGGGCCAGTCCCTTCCTACGGCATCATTGACCTGGAAGAATGGAATGATAGTTAGTCAGGCACATACAGCAACCGAGCACGGCCAAGCGCCAGCCACTGGCTCCCCAGCGCTGATCTGAGCAGCGTGGGACCCGGGATCCTCAATGTGCAACTCAGAGGCCAAACCGCCTGTGCAGCCAATGGTCAGAATCTGTGCTTGCATGGAGAATTTTTTTTTTTTTTTTTGTCCCATTTTTCTGGGCCTGTTAGGGTCCTGTCTCTGAGGATTCTGCATTGAATGCAGTGGAACCTGGGACCTTGCTCGGCTGCATTGTTACAAAGGACACAGAAATGGTCAGCTTACCCGCTCAACACACCGAGAACCAGATTTAGAACGAAAAAGGATCCAAAGATGACCAGACTGACAAAATACACCCAGGGCAACTCATAGCCCATAGCGTCTTGCATCTGGAAAGATGAAGGAGAGTTAGGACAGAGCAAGCAAAGTGGAGGGCAAGACAGACAGACAGGCAGGCAGGGAGTGAGAACAGACCCACAGGAAGAAAGGGGCTAACTTGGGTTTTGGTAAATGGATCAGGATCTGCCAACATATGTGGCTTCGTCCCTATTTGAATTCCTTCCCTACAACCTTGACCTGAGCTATAAGGACCTGCGCAGGGTCTTTTGGTAGTGGTAGTGGGGAATGGCCTGACTTTTCCTGCTGTTTTATTTTTTTGGAAAAGAAATGGTTTCCCGATCCTTTTTCTACTGGATTTTCTAGGAAGGTGGGTCACCTCACAAAACATTTTTTTTTCCATCCTAGAATGGGCTTAGCTCATTTGGCCTTCTGTGATCACTAAATCTTCCTTCAGCCGAACCCGGAGGAGGGCTGACTTTGGGTTGTGAGAAGGGCCAGCTTTACTGACAGGGCTGGGACCGAAGCGTCCATGACACGAGAAAGTGATCTACCTCCTAGAGTCAGGCAACGGAGGGCTCAGCCTCAGTGTTTCACAAGCAAATGGGCCAGGAAAGGTGGTGCCCTCCCTGGCTTATGAGTCAGAGAATGGGCCTTGTCCCTGACCCCACAGCCTAGACAGAAGAGGTATTTAGCCTGTAACTGATGGACTGGCAGAGGCACTCTTTGGCAAGTCACAAAGGCCTGCAGGAATTGGAGGCATAGGAGCCAGAACTGGCTCCTTTGGGCTGTGGGGAGTTTGCTGTGAGAATCCCTTCAGAACTCTCTGTCCCCTGACTTCCAACTTCTCCCTACAGCTCCTTGATGTGGCTGTCAGATGTTCCCTGTACTTCTGGAGGGAGGGGGTGTGAAGACAAGTCATTGGACAGTGCTTCTGTCAAAGAGGAAATATATTCTGATTCGGCCTCTCAAATCTATTTTTTTCTGATGTTTTCCAAGCATTAAACACACTTTATTTCTGGTTTACTAAAAGTGAGCCCCAATGTTGTCTTTTGTGAATGTAGCTCATAAAACTCTAGTTTATAAGGTGCCAGCATTCTGACTGACTTTCATTTGCAGTTCTCAAAGTGTGGCCTTAAATCTAGCACCGTTAGGGACTCATTTAGAAATGCTCACACTCCATCTCACCCTGGAGCTCTGGGGGTAGCAGTCTGCTCTTACGCACACTACAGGGTAACTACATGTGGGAGACACATCAGATCTTGTGGCTCCCTGACCAACAGCACTGTCTTTGCTACCAATTGTATATGGAAGGACATAATTATGCATCTCCACTACATTGGGCCCTGAGATGGAACAAAAGTAGATTTCTGGGTTTTGTCTCATAGCCTAGGAGTTCAATATAGTTAGCACATCTGCATTATGACAGCATCCCAAGTGATCTTCCTAAGGAATATGAAAATTTGATAACTGCTGCCTCAATTTGATTTCTACCTTTGTGCTCCAACTGAGTTACAGATGTGTTGTTCTCCATGTGATAGGACTAAAGATGGAGAGGCGCTCAGAGACCTGTCTGCTCCCAGTGGCTTGCTGTTCTGTAGTTAGAGGTGCAGTGTAAAAAATGTGCCTGTGGCTCATTGACTTGAGCTGAGTCAGTGAAGAGTTCCCCATACATGTCCACATTGCGGTGAAATTCAATTTAACCATTTGTTGAGCATCTCCATTCCCACTCGCCTTGTTCTGTTTTTCCATAGCATTTGTCACTTTATGACTGTGTGGGCTCCTTATGAGTCATGTTGGGTATTCATTGTCTTATAAGCTATAGTGTAGGTTTCATGAGCACAGGTGGCTTTGGCTTGTTTAGGTCACTGGTGAATCCCAAGTGCCAGGAGCAGTGCCTTGCTTTGGTAGGTACTCAGGAAATGTCGAGTGGGATTCATGAGCATAAGACCTGCTAGGCTTTGAACTGTAAATACGAAGTCTTCAATAGCTGGGGACATATACAAAAAAAGCAATGATAAAGACAGGGTAGGAGATGCAACTGTAGGAGGAAATAAGAAGATGGAGAGTAGGAAGTAGAGAGGACTGTTGGATGAGGCTGCAGAAACAAGGGCCAGATTAGACAGGACTATGTGGACTGTGCATAGTGGCTCCACTGTCAGCAGAGGGAGCTATGGAGCAGGAAGGAAGTGGGTGGAGGTTCAAAGGACCCTGTGGTAGCAGCAGATAACCCTGTCCCCCACCCTGGGGTCCGGGCTATTGTTAGAACCATGCCCACAGCTCCAAAGCCTTCCTGGCCATGGAATAGTCATGAAGGAAAGAGAAATATCTGGGAAGGCAGCAGTGGCTAGCAGAGTGTGACAGTCTGTTTTTATATGGATACTGTTCCCTGGGCCCTTCCTTGACCAGTAGGAATCCACTGAGCTAATAGTGCAAAGGACCCCTCCTCCCTCTCTTCAACTGAACCCCAGGAGCTCAGCTCAGTGCTTGGCTATGGGTCACTGCATCTTCTTCCATCAGTTACTGGATGGAGGTTCTATGATGACAGGGTGATCACTGAACACTGTCATATGAACAAGGCAGATGGAAGAGCATGACAGAGAAGACCACAGAGACAGCTGACCCAAGCTAGTGGGAGCTCAGGGACTATGGACTGACAGCTGGGGGACTTGCATGGAACCAAAGTAGACCCTCTGAATGTGGGTGACAGTTATGTGGCTCGATCTGTTGGGGGGCTCCTGGAAGTGGCACCAGGACCTGTCTCAGATGCATGAACTGGGTTTTTCCAGCCCATTCCTTACAGCGGGATACCTTGCTCAGCCTTGATAAAGGGGGGGGGGGAGGGGCTTGGTCCTGCTACAACTTGGTAGGCCAGACTTTATTGACTCTATCAAGGAAGGCCTTACCCCCTCTGAGGAGTGGATGGGAAGAGCAGCAAGGCGGGGAGGCGGGGGACCGAAGGGGAAGAAGGGGGAACTGGAGTTGGAAACCAGACTAGAGGGACTAGAAGTTCAGTGTGTCCTCGTGCTAAGAAGAAGAGAGCAGAAGCAGCCAACACAAGCAGGAAAGGTAAACAGTTCTGGGGGAGCAAGGCAAGGGAAAGGAGCCATGTACCCAGCCACGAGGCTTTGCCTTGCAGGGGCCTGCACACGCCACTGTAACTCAGAGCCTGTGCAGGAGCCTGTTGCCTGCTCACACAGCATCCACATTTATTCACCAAGTGCTTGCTGTGGGATGTGCAAGATGTAGGTGTAGCATTGGACTTGAGGTTGCAGTAAAAGAACTAGGCACCTGCTGAGAGGGATTTTAGGGAACCCTGGGCCTGGGGTGCTGAGCATTTTTTGTGGTTTTCCCCTTTAATTGTTTTGTGTTGACATAGGTCAGAAGCAGGCCCCGCCTCTTCTAAGTGCTTCTATTATATTCTGGGAAAGTGGGGAGAGCAGGAAAAGCTGGTGAGAACAGACTCACCAGAAAACTGGCAAACAGACACAGCGCTCCAGGCACCATCCAGCAGTGGGCTGCCCCTCTGGAGCCCATCCCCAGCTTCTGTTATCAACCTGCTCCAAGGAAGCCACCAGCCCTTCCTCTGGATTCCTGTCCCCCAACCAGCCCTCCAGGCCACACAAGTCCTTTTTGCCTTAGAGGTTTCCTTGGGTTCTTGGTTAGTCTTGGGGTCCCTTTCCCCTGGGCCACACAAGACAAGTTAGCTCAGCTTCACTGAGGACTGCAGTGGGAAGCGCCTGTGGCTGTTGGCTTTGTTCTAGGCCACATACTATTGGGTCGACTGGGTAGAGAGTAGATAATGGTGGCTGTCTCTTAAGTGGGGTGATGCTGGCTGGAGTGACATGGCCATTATCTCCAATCTGGGAAGAGATCTACTCAGAAGAAAAGAAATATAAAGCAACATTGAAAAGGGACTCAGCTCACTGTCACCCTTATCCGGAGAGTCAAACTGGGCAGGTCCTGAACAGCAGGAGCTCTGCTGCTTTCCTAAAGAAGGTGAGAGACATCCTGGCTCCTCCTGCCCAAAGTCAAGCAGTTTTTAGGAACCCCAGAACTGAGACTAGGGATGGTTCTTCATTGGGCGAAACAAACACAGAATTTTCCTATTCAATCCAGACCAAACAAAGGGAACACTAAAAGGAAAATACCAAGGCCTTGCTGAAACTAGCATCTAACTTGGTGAAAGGACCCTTGCTTTGTACTTTCAAACCCACCACTAACTCTTCTTTGTTGGGGGGGGGGGCGACAAAAAACCAGAAGAGACAACAATACCTCCACCATGAATTTCTCAAGGTCTCTCTGATCCAAGCTGATATCCACATCCCATGTATTCTTCTCAACACAAGCACTGTGGATCTAGAGACTAGATGGTTTCTACAAGTACCAAGAGAGGCCATTTTCCATCAACAAGCAGATGCGAGTCATAAAAGCCACAGTGCTTTCCACTCAGTGTTTCTGATGTCAGTGAATGTCCTTGGAGCAATAGCTCAATGCGTGGTTGCTCTTTATGACCTATGTTGCCTGGGATGTAGTGTCTACCACATGGGTCACAGAGTAAGAAGCAAGTTTAATACTGCCCCAGCCCTGTGTACCTACTCATTGGTTGCTGGAAACTCCCCAGGCAGCCAAAATAATAAGAGCCTCATGTAGGTAGAGGAAAAAAAAAAAAAAAAAAAAAAAAAACAGATCTTAATACCAGGCAAGTCAGCAAAACCAAACTGTGTGCATTCAAACAACCTCTGAAAGCAATGGGCTGGTGTTCTGACCTCATGAGGCATGTATGGGCTGAGAGAGTGATATCTTAGTCCATGACTCACAGATGGAAGGGCTGCTAGCAGGTATATGGTCCTCGAGGATGCCTGAAGCTTTACCCCACAGCCACCACGCACAGTGAGCAAGGACACGCTGGCTGTCACAGTGGTTTATTTGCTAACACACTAAAACATACTTTAATATCCAAAGCTACCAATGAATGCTTTCTAAAGGTATTAGCATCTGCTGTCTACCGTTCTACTGGGGAGCCAATCTCCTTTGTGAATGAATACTGCATGCCTTATATTCTGAACTCCTGGAAGGCTGGTCTTATTCTTCTTTGTCCCCAACCCCACACCATCCCTGCTTCTGGGAACATAAGAAATGCTCAATAAATATACGTTAAATTGAATTATTAAACCGCAAGACTTCATCTAACACTGGTAAATGAGCGAAGTGGAACTGGATGAGTGGATAGATGAGTGTATAAGTGAACAAGTAGACAATGGCTTTGAGAGGTGCTAATTCTCTCATTACTGTATTGATAACCCAACCAGCATACTGTTTGGGCGGAGATTCTCTGTGTAAGGTAGTTATTTGGCTCAAAGTTAAAAAAAACATCCCACATCTCAAAAAAAAAAAATGTAAGAAAACCAATGGAGACACTGTTTGACTCTAGATTCTCTCTTCTCTTGGTGCTTTGTTTGTTTTATTTTCACACTTAGGCATTCTGGGAGTACATGGAAAGGCTTTGGTTTAAAGAGTCATTTCCCAAGAAAACTACATGGAAGCCTGCGTTTTGGTTTAGTTTCTTTTCCCTAGAAACATCTACTCAGCTGTTTGGGTATTTAAAGGGAACCCCACTCTGGGGGTTCCATGCATTACTACACAGGGGAGTCTTCCCTGCTCCTCTCTGGGCCCTCTAGACTTGTACTTTACACGTGTGTTCTGCGTGGAAGACCAACACACCCATGTTCCCTGGGAACTAGCTCCAGACTCGCTCAAATCCAGCGGTATCCCAGGAGCACTGCAGAGATAGGGCTGCTCCTATTTCTAGGGCTTCAAACTCAAACTTGCACCATAACAGCTTGGAGAACTTTCTCTTCGGATACCAAGTTCCTAACAGGGACTATTGGAGGCAGCTCTGAGGATTTTTATATTTAGAAAGCGCTATGTTGGATGCTAAAACACTTTGAGATTTGAGTCTCTGGGTTAGTGATACAAACCTAGAGTTGAGGAGGAGGACTGCCTAAGGCAAAGAAAGGAGGAGAGAGAAAGAGAATAGAAAACGGAATGGCTCAAGAAAGGTCAAAGTAATTAGAGGGGTTGTCTGACAGCAGCAGCGCTGAGCTATCATGAGTGACCACCGAGGAACACAGTCTCAATGTGTTTGCGTGTGCTCACAGGCACACACAACTCGTATGCACACATGTGCACACCCACAATCTGATTGTTTTGGAAAGATGCTGGGAATGCCAAAGTGAGACACATCCCAGACCCTGGAGCTCCTTCACCTCTGACAATTTTTTTTGTCCTCAGCCTGAGCTCCATCACACCCCCGGGGGAGAAGGTACAACACAGCTGCTGAAAACTGGTAGTTACCGCTGCGTGCGTCTTCCCAGTCCCCACTCTGGCTGTCACTGTGGCAGCATCTTAGGGTCCCATCTGGCTGGTAGGGTATCAAAGACTTGCAGTCAGGGAGAGGGAAGATCAGAAAAGTACACCAGCGCCATCAGCAAAGTAAATTGTACTTACTCCCCCCTGCCTGTACCAGCCCTCAGTATGATGCTACAGCCGGCTTTCCAACAGCGACTGAAGGCATGGGCTGAGACTCCCATAATGAGATGCTGGAGCCCAGCATATGATCTACAGCCCAGAGGTGGAAATTTGCAAAGACCTTTCTGTCCATGCTCATCAGGACAGGAAGTAAAAGGTCCTTTGTGCATAGTAGAAGGGATAGTTAGAACCATTTAGGAAGTTGACTTGCTCTAGTAAGTGAAAGAAATTTGCCTACTACAGAATACCCAACTTCCATCTTATTGTCTTTGAAGTTACACAAAACCATGTTCTTATGGAGACCAGGGCTGAAAATGTTTCCCAATGTTTCATTTTAGTTTGAGGTAGACATGGATGACAACCAGTGATGTCTCCCGACAGCATGTCAACACAACAGCCCTGCCGTGGCACAGGCTTCTGTGTTTCTCAGCTCAGACTCTCATCTATCCTATAGACCGAGCTTCTTTTGACTAAATGGATCTTATTCATTACCAAATCTTCAGTGCCTAGAGCACCCTGGCTCACAAGGACACTCAGCAAACAATTGCTGGGAACAAGGACAGGCAAGCTGCAAGTCCCTTAGAGAGAGGCACACACTTCACAGCAACACTGGGCTCTGGCATGCCCACGGCTGGGAAAGAAGGTTTCGTGTTTACAGGAGACGGTGCATGTGAAAGCAGTGGGAAGAGCAGCTACAAAACCGCCTTGGATTCTGGAGAAGTCAGCGCTTCTCTGGCCTTGCTTCTCTTTCTGGCAACTGCACGCGGGATGTTCCCTTGCTTCCCCTCACTCTCCTTGCGCTAGTTTGCAGACAGGAGCACACAGCCTCTTAGATGTTTTCACAGGGCTAAATGGATCTGACTATCTGAGAAACTTGGGAAAGATGATATTTTCAAGACTGGCAGCACACTTTATTCACCCAACTTCTGAAGAGCAATGCTGGATTCTGGCAAAGTCATTTCTCATGCTGAAGTGGGAAACACCACCAAGATGGTGTTTTCTATGGGATTTTACAAATAATGGACTCCATTCTGCCAGAACGAAGACAGCTCAGATATGGTATGTGTATATACTGGAACTTTAAGGACTCAAAGATGGGTGAAGCAGGGTGGCTAGTTAGATTTTATGAGGGGCATCTTTAAAGTCAAAGGAAATATATTTAGGCTGGGTTGGCCCTCAGAACATGTATTTCTTAATATGCATTGATGGAGTAGTCTAATATGTTAAAACTAACATGAGAATCAAAATATAACAGCATGCCACAAGGCTACCCCATTCAATTAAAAAAAAAAACAAAACTGTTTTCTTTATGGTGTTTCCTTTTAGATCAGACCTGACTTTTCTCTGAGAATTCTGCCTGTAGCTCCCTTTTAGGAAAGAGACAGGAAAAAGTTAAAGGCAGAAGGAATTATAGAGAAGGAAGGGAAGCTGGATTGAGCCCTTATGCCAGGTGTAGCCCAGCTCATCCGCATAGCATCAGCAGCACACCAGCCGTTCAGACCACAGTTGCCAAGCTTAAGATGACCCTCGCTAAGGCTGGTAGTGGTGGAAACCTTACAAAAGTGGACATGTTATACTTTGCTTCTTAGGAAAGTACTGGAATAAATCAAAGACATTCATCAACCACAACCTCAGCTTGTGGGTCCATGTGTGACCCAGTATAATTAATTGGTAGGAAGACCAGTTGTCAAGAGAGGCTCGGGCCCTCCACATGCCCACCCTCTAAGTGCCCCATCTGCGTACCCAATACAGCACGTCTGTCCAGCCCTCCATGGTGATGCACTGGAACACTGTCAGCATGGCGAAGGCGAAGTTGTCGAAGTTGGTGATGCCATGCTTGGGCCCATCCCACCCGGGCTTGCACACGGTGCCGTTCTGACACTGCCGCCCATGGCCTGTCTCCAAAGCACAAGGGGAAGGGTCCTCTTCCGCTGGGACATCTCCACCACCAAGGAAATGTGAGACAAAAGGAGAAGGGAAGGAGGGACAATGATGGGCAGGGAATGAAGAAAAGAAGTTAGAGAGAAAGAGAGAAAAAATAGGGCTCATGAGTAACCACAGCAGCAACCACACATTTCATTCCCTCACATGGGAATTAAAAACACATGAGCCCAGACATTCATTTCAGGAGCACAATGACATTGATCAGTATTTTCAAGCAAGTGTTGGGAGCTGCACTTTAACCACAATTGATTTCACAGACACCAGGGTATTGCCTATTTTGTCATAGCATGGCATCATGTCCGAGGGGCCAATCAGAAGAAAGTAGTAATGATGCATCCATTTCAAGTGTAAATTGTTCTGGAAAGCAGAAGACAAAGTAGGGAATCAGAGTTTGTAAAGCCCAGGATTTTATCTTGCAGCTATAGCAATAACAAACAGAAGACCCGAGTTTGAACAAACAATTGCCTCTGACAATGGCTAAAATGCAACTCCAGAGAGAGAATTTGCCTGTGGTTCTTCATTTAGAGATAATAAGATACCCAGAATCTTCTCTCCTTTTATAAGGATCCAAACCATCACAGTGTGATTATTTTGCCCATGGGACACAGGCTCTTTGTGGAAGATGACTGGCTGGATGGCTGTTGATGTCTGTGGCTTCTAATTGAAACTGTTTACTCTCAAGAAAAAGAGAGGCAGAGAAATGTTAACCCTTACCTGTGAAAGGGTTCTTAGGAGAATGGCGGTGGGTGCTGTGGCTCAAAGGGTGTGCCAGTATCTTCCTGGGGACAGCATCTATCACCTCCTCTTCTCTGCTATCCCCAACTACTCCCATGTCCTTGTTTCTAGTTTATCCTTGCTTCTGTCCCCCAATTCCTAACAAGCTGATTTGTTTTCTGTCTTTTAGCTTGCCTTTCCTTTAAGTTTCACATAAATACAATCACACCCTAAGAGGCTCTTTGTACCCCCTCCCTTCTTTAGCACGGTGCTTCTGAGTTCAAGCACGCTGCCGCCTTTCAGTCTCGACTGTTCCTTTGTATTGCTGAGCAGTGTATTTCACTGCTTTGTCCAGGTGATGGGCATCTGGCACACTCCCAGGATTCGGCTGTTCAGAATAAAGCTGCGCCCTGGCTGATTCTCTCTTGGTGCTATAGTCGATGACCCGATGACCAAGGACACAGGTCTACAACTGATCTCTGAGCTGTCTGAGGGTAGCAAATGTCCATACCATTTTTATATCTATGGTCTGGCTTCCAGAGGCTACATACTAAGGAAGCTGAGCTGAACTACCCCTAGTTACAACATTTCATGACTTTTAAGATTGTCAAATCTTTTAGAGATGAGGATTTAAGACTGTTGGAAGTAGAGAAATGAAAGTTATTTTCAAACCTAAATAATACGTTAAAAATAGCAAAGCAAAGCACCTAAAAAATGAGAGTTGAAAAATAGGAAAACCCAGAAGCAAACAGATCATTAATTCCATTCTTATTCTGGAACCAGCTTTCTAGAGGCAGAGGGGACGAAAGAGATAGCGGAGAGATAAAGTGAAACTTGCATTTTGCTTTTGCTTATTTATTGCATAAAGAAGTCAGTCATCTGTTCTTTATGTGGCTCCTAGGCTGACAGTCCGTCCTGGATCTTCAGTTCCTAAAACAGGGGAGGAGTGGGGGAAGGTACTGCCAAAGCCAGCTCTGTGAGTTCACAGGGAGGAAAACGTGTTTGGTGAATTTACAAATATGTTAGAAGAAAATGGCATGAAGGGCCAGTGATCTCACAGAGAGAGGGAGGAAAGCAGTGGGCCTTGGGAGATCATCCACAAGTTCAAGAGCTGCCGCGCTACTTAAAATCTTCCCTGAAAAAAAAAAAAATCACAGAACAATTAAGAAGCAGCGATGATCCAGTAAAAATAGGTATCTATAAAAAGGAACACTTGAAAAATGTGAACACACAGATCAGCAGGTCCTAGTGACACACACGCGCGAGGGTGAGGGAAGCCAGTGTAACCGTAGGATGTGCTGCTTTTCTTCTGCAGAGTCATGAGGTTCTGGTAGGGAGATAGGAGAAATCGAGCCATGTGGGCTATACATTTCAGAGTGGAACTGAAGAGAGTAGTCAGTGTGGAAAGATCAAATGAAGTCTTTGGTAAAATAAAGGAGGTTTTAGAAATGGAATCAACTTCAGCAAGGATGGAATCCTGGGGGAGCTTTCGGCCGTGTTCCAAGGAAAAACCACCAAGACAACAGCAATTACATTTTTTAGGTCTCAACTTGAAGGACAAAATAGAATGGTAGTGATTTCATTGCTAGGTTTAGCCAACAAATTCTGTGCCAGTCTCAGGGGTAATTATCGTGCTGGGGAGAGCTACAGAGTGCCCTGGCTCCCGGTCCACTGGACAGATGGAACACCAGAAACAAAAGGTATCGGCATATGGCGACATATCTGCTGAGCAACCGGGAGGTGCCTTGCAGTTGCTGGAGAGACTGGGAGAAAACAGCCTCTTTGGAGACCATCACCATTGGACACCGGACATAGAAAGAGAAGCCTAAGGGCAGAACAATAGTTCCATGGCTTACAGGGATCTCACAGGAAACATGGATTAGAAAAGTTAGAAGAATATAAAATCCAGCCTGTGAAACAATATCAGAGTTTAAAAGAATACATGTATTCCATCACAATTATTACAAAGACTCACTAAGCCTTTTGTAAAATCTAAATTTACAGAAAAGATGTTAAATATAAAAATCTTAAAAATGACAACCAAACCAAACTAAACCAAAACCCCAAGCAAACAAACCATTCCAAAGGTTCTATAAAATTCAGAAACACAGAGTTTTGGACTTCCTAGTCTACAGATAGGAATGTGACAAGATCCCTATAGGTTCTGTCTCTTCCTCATTGGGGATGCTCACCTTGTTGGAACCAATGGTGGCTTTGTTGCTGTTGCTGTTTTGAGAAGCTAGAATTCTGCCTCTGTGCTATGGGCAGACAGTATGAAAAGGAGGGAAGGGGGAAATTCAACTGCTTTGTTCCAAAAGTAAGGCTGCCACAGCCAGGAATCTTTGGCCTCTTTTCCCATAGCGGCTCTGGCTCCCTACAGGAGCCTTATGACACCTTTCTGAGGGACATTACTCTCTTTGCCCTGACACCCTGGCTCATTTGGTTTCTACCCAGCAGACTAACTGGCCTCTGACGTTGCTGAACAGGGACTCATCACAAAAACGGCATCTTGAGTGTGTGGAAGGATGCAAGAGGTAGTTCAGATGACTTTTCTAACCCTGTGCTCTATCAAGTCCCAGTATGACCTTAAGCTGACATCTCCAAGAGTTGAACCCCAGTGTGGTTTTCTTTCTGAGGGCAGACAAAGAAGGTGTTTGGTGCTGGAGGTGGCTTTCCACGGGGCTTCTAGCTATACCCTAAGAAGAGGGCAGCATCTTGTTTTCTTTGACTATGATACCATTTTCTTGTACTGGGGCCTGGTAACAAACTCCACAATTGTAACAATTATTCAAGGCTACACTTTGCTCACAGCCTTGCAGGACCCTTAGCAGCAGAGGACATACTTTTCCCTCTTTCCTTTAAGATGACAGAGATAGCTGAAAGGTTAAGCAGCTCTCCATGGCTTGGTGGTGTACCACATCAATGTTTGATGGCATGGACAGTCACTGTCTTTGGTTTATGACAGAACTCCCTATTTTGCTGGTGAATGTCCCACCATTAGTCACCACCAAATTCATGGGGAGTCACTGAGATTCTGCACCTCTGTGATAGTCTGGCGAGTTTGGGTTCAGTGGGTCAGTGGTGATGTAGTATAACTGTATACATTTACTCAAGCAGTAGTTTGCCCTTAAGGACCAACCAGGCTGGATCAGGGTTAGCTACATATCAATTAGGTAAGTTTACTAGTTTGGAGTTAGCTACAGATAAATTAGGTAAGTTACTGGTTCAGAGTTAGCTACAGATCAATTAGGTAACTTACTGGCTTAGGGTTAGCTATACATAAACAGAGAAAGAGGAAGGATTTGAATAAAAAGGAGCTAGTGATCATGATGTTGGCTGGTATTCTTTAAGTAAGGTTAAATGTCTCAGAATTTTAGCTGAATGCAGGAACTTGCTCTTCCAATTAAAAATTCTGTATCAGCTAACATATTTTAAATTGTCACCAATTTCACACAATTACAACTCAAATAATGTGGAAATTCTCTTGAGAATGAATAATTTATCTTACACAGAATCTTTTAAAAGTAAAAATATGATTATATAAGTATAGATTTATATGTGTTGTTTGTCTTGCTGTGACCTTGTGACGATCGAGTAATCTTGAAGATACCTCAGTTAGTCTACCTAGTCACAAAACCCCCTGCATACCAGGTAATAGCATCAGCTTCGGGGTATGAGCTTTTTTACCTCACTAGCATACAGATTGGCACCATCACCCACAGCCCTATTGTAGAGCTCACACTGGATGGGAATAAGAGGGTAGAGTGGAAGGAAGCCTCCAGTATTATTAGAGCACATGATCCAGATATGTGCTCCACCTTTTCCTAAATAATGCCCAAATAAAATAATGTTAACAGCCAACAGCTTCGGAATCCAATGCTGTGTGTTATATACAGAAATATATGTATATATTTTAGACTACTGTATATGTCTGTTTAAAGCCTTATGAGTTTTTTTTTAAGAAAGAGGATTAATGCATTCTTTTCCTTCATTTTATGTATTTGAATGTTTTGCTCCAATGTATGTCTGTGTCCCATCTGTGTGTCTTGTGCCCTCAGAAGCAGAAGAGGGTGTATGATCCCAGGAACTGGAGTTACAGAAGGTTGTGAGCCACCATGTGAGTGCTGGGAATTGAACCTGACTCTTCTGAAAGACTCAGTGCTCTTTACCTCTGAGCCACCTCTACAGCATCCTGTTTTATTCTGTCATTTAAGAGAGCACTTAAAATAGAGCAGTCTATAGCTTATCCTGTAAGCCAAAACCCTGGTGCCATTTAAAGTGCTTAATGAGCCAGTACTGCTTGTTAAAATCATTGATTTATGGAAGGAATACAAAGAAGGGAGGCTCAGAAAGGTAGGATTTATGGTTGTGACATGGAGCTGAACCTCTTCCTTGAGGAACACAGATTTCAATGTCAGCAAGGGAATGGTCAATGGCAGCATTTTCATCCACTCCAAGATAGGGAGGGTCCCTGGGGGGGGTCTGTCTTTGAATGCAGAAGAAAATGGTAGCTGCAAAGGAACCAGGGCCAGTTCTAAGAGGGTAGAAAGATGGGTGGGGATGGGGGTTGGTGGTACAGGCTCCCAGAAGGGCTCTGATGCTGAACCACACTGGCTGGATACACATGCTCATCAGTTCGCAGTGGCAGCTCACATACTCAGAACCTGCTTCAGGAGCGAGAAACTGATGAAAGATGGGTGCTTAATCTTTAATTGCTTCTCCAATTGTGTAGATCCTTTACAGGGTGTGTAGCAGTGCTGGACAAAGCGCACACCTGCTGTTTGAACAGACACCTGCAGTAGTGGAAGCAGAAGCTGGAGATGAGAGGGGGAATATGCCGACCTGGCTTTTCATTGTGGTCTGAAGTATGGGGAACTGAATGCCTCATCCAGTTCCGCTGCATGGGTGGCTGCAGCAATCCTGGACACCTGCCGCCCAGAGCCCCACCTCTTACCTATTATGCCCTCCTGGTTGTAGCAAGTCTTGTGCATCTTCCCCATGAAGAGCTCCAGGCCGATAATGGCATAGATGATGATGACGAACAGCACAAGTAGGGCAATGTGCAGCAGAGGCACCATGGCCTTGATGATGGAGTTCAGGACCACCTGGAGACCTGTGCAACAAAATCACCAAAAGTAGCAGCAACAGAACCTCTGCCTCCTCTTTTGAGCCAAGGCTGACCTTAGACATATGCTAACAAGACCTCCTGTGATCTTCTTAACAACCTGAGTGAGAGCCACGAGTCCCACGTTTTATGAGGAAACAGGCTCAAGGTCACAGCCAAGGAATGAAAGAGCAAGAACCTAAACTCAGGTTGATTTGACTCTAAATCTGTCCTGGAGGCACATTCAAATGACAGGATCAGCAGATGCTACACTTCTGTGGGGGGAGAACATGTTGTTTTCATCTGTAACCATCAAGATTTTAAATAGCCCATCTCAGACAGCGTGTTTCCTCCTGGAGCTCAGTGCAGTGAGAACTCACTCTGACTACCCACAACCACATGGACTTAAGTCATCTGCCAGACTTTGCTGTGGTGGATTACTAGAACCTAGCATCAGTCCACCTGCTCTAAAACACACATCACCCTGATGGGAAGGAATCCAGGAGGGTGTGATTTCCAGAGGAGAAACTACCAGCAGGATACATCTGAGAACCATATCAGGGCCAGCTGTGTATTTCTAAAGGTACATTTTTAGTAGTAAATGAGGGGACCACTGCGTAGCACACAGATCTACCAGGGGCCACATCATCTGAATGTCACTCTCCAAAGCTCCATGGGAAAAGACTTCTTAATTAATAGCATAGAATTTCTGTTTGGGGGACGAAGAAAGTTCTGCAGATTAGATGACGACACTGGCACAAATATAGAGAGTGTCCCCGAGCCACATTCATAAAAGGAGTTGAAACAGCAAGCTTGGCCTTGTACTTATCACCAAGAAAAAAACTAAAAGTACCCAGATACCACCAGGAGAATAGGAGCGAATGGATGGATAGCCCTGTGGAGAACACTCGTCTTATCAGGGTACCCCAGAGTTGGCTTGTTCTGCTGTTCTAGGGGAGAGGGATGAGTATCGAGTGACTGCACCAAGGATGCTCACCAGGAATGCTACCAGAAAGGGGCTGTGGCAGGATGATGAGGTGATAACAACAGGTTACTCTGAAGCCTATGGCAGTTCCTGTGAGCTTCCATGAGCAGCAAGCTACACTAGGTATCCACATTCCAGGAGAGTATAGTGAAGACAGCTGCACAGAACATCACCCTGAGGATTCCTCTGGTACCCTCAGGAGAGCAGAGCCCCTGCAAGTCCCACACAAGGCTGGCATGTTCATAGCATCTTCACAGGATGTGTCACCTTTTCCCTATCCTCTCAGACACCAAGGTCTTTCTGTTCTATTTTTCTGCACTTACCTGCAGCCATATAACTCTGGATAACCACAATGGGCCACATTTCTCAACCCTGAAACAGTCACTAAAGCTCTGAGCTGTGGCCAGTTGTTTCCACAAGACTAATTAGAAGAACTCCCCCCAGCTATTAAGCCAAGCTGAGGAAAAGGAAAAAAATAAAAAAGGAAAGCTAGAATGATTTTACCTGTGAATTAATGTGAGCACTTTGCAGGCTCCCATTAGAGCAAGATGTTTTCAGATCCAAATGATCCCATTAATTAGCAAGTTGTACACACATTAGCATTAAAGTCTGCCAAACCAAGAGGGAAGTTGAGTTGCAAGGCAACTTCCAGGAGAGGCTGATAGGTGCAGAGGAGACTTCTAGGTGTTCCTCACAGAAGCTACGAACCCCATTTTGGTTGCCAGGCCACCAGGGAGGGTATCAGGCCTCTAACACCAGCCCCAAGTGCCAAGAAACAGACAGGTGACAGACAAAAAGGGAGTTGTGATCTGGGTGGAAGCCAGGCAGGCCACACAAAAGGCCACTCTGGAACCTTTAGTGCCTGTTAGAAGGAAGACCAGGATTTCCTAGAGCTCTGCAAGGCACTGTAGGGCCCAGTCCATCCCCTTCTTCATACAGTCCTGCCCTGCCCATCCCCCTTCTGGATTTCAGTCAAACAGCATTTCTCTGAGATCCAAAGATGTCTCAGCCATGTGCCACAGAGCATGTGGTACCCAAGGATTAAAATGGAGTTAAAAGTGCCTATTGCTTACTGACACGACTGTCTTAACACTGCCCGAGACAATCAAAATATGACACATGCAGTTATGAACAGTGTATAATATTTAAAGATGACAGTAGATGGCTGTGTGTCTTCTAAATGTATTTACTGTACTGCCAAGAGTTTGATCCCTGGGAGTCACATGGTGGAAGGAGGGAACTGACACTCACATAGTATACGCACAAGCACGCGCACGCGCGCGCACACACACATACTCACAAATAAATGAAATAATGTGTTTAATTATTTTTGAAATGCTTGTGATAAACAGTATAGTGACGACAGTAATAACTACAGCATTTTGTACTTGCTCCATCTCTGTATTAAGAAGCCACCTCCAGCAAATAACCTGTGCTAAGAAGGTTTGTCAAGGACATTTACTCGATGACAGAATCATCTGCTGTACATTTCTTAGACATAGCATCATTAAATATGGTACAGCTGAGCTGCCGCCCTATAGAAAAGCCATAGGATGATCCCTTCCCCTCAGAATGCTTTATCAGTTCTCCAGCTCTCAGCCCAAGCAGCTCCCTCCCCAAGAGTCCTCCAAACCCCTAATCAGAGCCATTTCCTCTGATATATGCCCTCTTCCTTTGTAACATTCCAATTGAATTGTATGTTTTGAATGATTTATGTGTTAAAGGGATTTAAAAACATTTATGACTGTCTTTCCAGTTAGGTGGCATTTTGTAAAGATGGACTGTGCCTGCTCTTTTCATCACCAAGGCCTGCCTGTGAAGAGCATCCCCTGGGCACTGAGAAGTATTTACTGACAGCATGAGAAGGATGTCCTCTGAATGGCTGCACCCCAGGGCCAGGTTCTACAGTAGTAGTCAGTTGTCCAGTTGGTGTAGGATGCACAGGGTACTTCAGGAACCATGAGGCACCACTCGGAAGATACCAACTGGAAGTCATAGCAGTCCACACGCTTCACTCATCCGTCAACAGTGCCGATGAGTTCTAAGCTCTGTTCCGTGTGCCCCCTACCTCTTTGGTGGACTTGAGCACCTGCCCAAGAGGTGCATTATCCAGACTATCTCACCAGCCAGATTGCAAAACCCACTAGCTTGATTTTCAACCATTAATAAATATTCATAAATTATTTCACTATATAAATAATACATGGTAATTACAGAGAAAACAGAAAAAGCTTATGAAAGAGAAATTAGAAGGCATAGTTGGGGGGAGGTGCAATTGCTCACTTTCTCAACCTCACAGAGATCCCATCAGTTAGCGTTTCATGTACTTCTGGGGACTTCAGTCCATGACTTTCTCCCACTATCCTCTCAGATGTCTAGTTAACCAGCCTTCCAACTCTCGTGTCTTCCCTGGCATCATTCAGCAGTTAGACCGTTTGTATCAAAGGACACACTGAAGCTTGTCACTTTTGAAGGTGCATCATTGAACCCTGTCATTTACGGAGGCAAGTTCACCTCCTCCCTTGCTGTTTTGGCTCCTATGGTTCCTAGTTTCTCCTAATACTCCAGCAGCATGCCCAGCCATCTGGAGGTATCTGGCTTCATGCCATCTGCCCTATGTCAGTGAATGCTGCTCCCTGCCTGCCCCCTCCTTGAGTCTCATCTTGTTTTCTCTTCCTTGTATTCAGGCATGTAGCAGATCTCCTAGAGTGAAATAACACTATGCACAGGGTGTCTTCAGACACTGTGCAAAGGCACAGCAACTACGGGGTCTGCAAGTACACTGGCAAGCACAGCAATCGCTCAGAAAACTGAAAGTTACATCAGGAGATAAGATGCATGGGATGGGACAAGGACACAGGCGATGGGGCTTGTTGATATCAGCGATCTTCCCGTGACTTGAGTTGCTGTTTTGAGGACAGTGGGGATAATTATTTTGGTATGACTGCAGGAGGGAAGGAGGACTAACTAGGAAACATCCAGGAAAAAACAGAAAAGGTATGTTCTTGGACATGCAGGTGGCATGGGGTAGTGTATCACTATACTCAGGCAACTCACAGACTGACTGACTGAGCTCTTGTGAAAGGGCTTGGGGGGATTGCAAAGACTGGGTGAAAGATTCCACTGGCCCGTCAAAGCCCTGTAACCTCATAAATCATGTCCTGAGAACACCTGAGCTGAGGTGCAGCAGGCACTATTCTACTTAAATTATTCTGTTTCCTCCTGGTCACACCTCTGAGAACTAGATGCTACAAACCATAGCTGAAAGAGGTACAGAGAGGAACCAACCTGTTACAGGGCACAGGTAGAGGATGGTGGTACAGGGAGCAGAAGACAGTACTGATTCAGTTTGTCTGGGGCGGGACATGAGTTTGCATTTCTAATCTAGTTCCAACAAATACTAATGCTTCTTGCTGATCCAGCCACCACAATGCAAGGCAAGGCCCCAGAGCACCTGGTCAGCCAGGAGCCATGGCAACTGCATCCAAAGCCTTCCTGAGAGCTCTGAAGCAGTTCACATACTGTGGTAGGTTTGAGTTGATTCTAGTAGTATCACCCCTTCAGGTGATTTGTAATTAGTAAAACATGAAATAGCAATGCTTGATACTGAGAAACCCTGACAGCCTGACTACACTACAGATTTATTATATTTCTTTTGTTTGTTTGTTTACTTAGTTTTAAACATAAGGGCACTGCAGAGGACGACATATTCCTGTACCCTTCACTCCAGGAGCATAAGTGATGGGCGCTGGAGCCACTACTTCTAGCAGCAGTAAGAGTCATTCAGCAGTTATGGGAGAGACCAAAGACTGCATCCAATACTACAGTATGAAAGGCATGAGATTAGCTTTTTTTTTTTTTGACAGTGACCTCTACCATTCTCACTCTTGCATAGAGAGCATCCTCAGGCTGCTCATCATCTCCAGCAGCCAGTCTAGGCCGATGCCTCCATAATTCTTTCCTTATTTATCCATGATTATATTTTCTTTTAAAATAGCTTCTTGTCCTGTTTCTACAATTGTAG